GGAGGCAGAAACGGGTGGCGAAGAGGAAAGCGATCAGGCCGGCGCAAGCGCGCGTTCTCGACCTGAAGCCACCGTGAAGAAGGCCTCGCACCACAACGAAGTTGACGGGATGTTGGACGAGGCGCAATGAGGGGGGTAGCACAGCCTGGACAGGCCGTGTAGGAGGAAGTGTAGGCTTCGATTGTTTCGTTTGCTTCTGGACCTAGGCCACTTTGCGACGAGGGCCTGCACGGCGCGCACTCGGGGACTGGCTGGTGCGACTAGGGTCGGGGTCGCATTTATGAGGCGTGTTTTGCGCGCGAGAGAGCCTGGGGGAAACAAGCGAGACAGGTTTGCCGAGAAGTCAGTTACGCGTTAGACCTGTCTGGGAGACCTTCCAGGGTACTGGTTCAGTTGAAGTCTGGTGTCGGAACGGTAAGTTGGATCGGCTGCTCGCAGCAAGGTTTAGAGGTCGGAGAGTTGGAAGATGTTAGTACTAGGAGTTAGCCTCGGACTCGAACGAGGTGCGAGGCGCACACTTTGTGTGTTAAGATCCGTGATGACGAGAGGGGAGTGTGTTCTGGTCATTCGTGATTTCTGAGAAACCTTTCGAGGCAACGATATCATGCGCAAAATGGATAAATCAGTCGTATCTCCAAAAGTGCCTTTGCCTTGTTGGATGACCCTAGTGTAGAGTTGCAGTGTCCGAGCGAGGGTGGCTGGGGAATACCCGCAGATCTATCGACTGATGGCGATGACTGTCAAAAGACGGCAGGCTGCGGCTCATTCATTAGGGCTCCGTCTGGAATGAGCAACGCCTAGACCGGCGCGGAGGAGTGTCTGCTTAGGCGACGAAGTCGAGGCCGAAATGGAGTGCAGAAGATCGAATAGGAACGCAGGCCGACTTAGCGTTTCCGGGAGTATTGTCAAGGCCGCTTCGTCTTGGACGGCAAAACAGCTCTTTTCCGCTCGCCAACCGTTGAGGATAGACTATCACTGCACCGCCAATCTAGTCGGAACTTGACGCTAGGCAGTGCACACACAGGAAGAGAGGGAGGTGGGTTGAGTTGGTGGGTGGTATGGATGCTGAAAGTTGGCGCAAGCTGCGTGTAGGCGCATACGAACAGTCGAGAATCCAGAGGCTAGAATCAGGTTGAGAGCGCAACGACGAAGTGTGGTGGTGTGGTGTGGTGTGGGAGCGATGAGTATGTTTGACTGGCGTCGTAGTCATCATCCGCATCGGCTGCTCTTTGGATACGTCTTTGTCCATGTCAGGATGTCGTTGAGAAGCTCCTGTCTGCTTTTGTCATTGTCGCCGTCGCCGTCGCTGCCGCTGATGCCTCTTAAAACCCCATGCTACCCTATCTCGTCAGAATTTCCCGTCCCTGGGCTGGGCTGTCTCTTGCGGCTGGCTTCTTTCATCTTCCCCGGCAGTGGCTTTATCCCACGCGCCTCTCGCGCCTCCGATTCCGTCGCCGCTTTCTTGCTTTTTCGTCGGCAACCAACCGCATCCCTCTTGGCCATTTTCCCTGCGCATGTCTCACCAGTCCCCAAAGTGGAAGAGGTTCCATTTGGTTGGCCGACAGGCACACCAAGAGGGCCTCAACTGGGCCTCTTTCGATCGCATTCGAGTTCGAGAATGGAGTCCGTCTCTCGTAATAGCTCGTAGGTTGATTCTCACTGGAGGTATCGGTAGCCACCCATCATATCACATATGACTGCATACGCTGTAGCTGTAGCTGTGTGCAACGCGCTGCGCTCTGTTGCGCGCTCTCCTCTTCCTCTGGTCTCTAATATGCAATCGACAGAGCATCCATCCCTGTCTCCCGCCCGTCCTGCACACATGCTTCGCTGCAGCACGGTCCCTCTGCCATGGTGCTAGTGGCCTAGCACTGGGCTGAGATGAGCCAGATGCAGCAGCGGTTCTCTGCGGAATGGGAGAGCAGCGTGCAGATGCACAAGCAGATGCAGTGCGATTCAAGGCTCTCCCTGGAGGTTGCGTCCGCTGGCCAATCCGGTGGATCGGCATGGAGCGCCTGACTCTGGGTCGCTGCCACTTGCAGGACGTCATTGTCGTGGTGTTGGCCGAAAGCATGATACTCCCTGCTTGGTCATAATAAGAGACGTAAGCTTAAATGAGAGGTAGAGTCGACCGTGAGGGTATTCGTCAGCACTAGCCAACAGTTGTGATTATGTCTGCGAGTGTTGAGGTCAAGTAGGTAGAGAAATAAGTACCGTAGGAAACGTCACTGCTATCGCCAGTGACCGACTTCAGTCCAGCGTGTATTCGATTCGGCACCACAAGGAAGGTGTGCTTGAATTGGGATGCGCCGGCCCCTCCTTCCCTCCCCCACCAACTTCGGCGAGTGTTCCGTCAGCAGGCGTCGCTTCTCGTCGCTCCTTCCCATCAAAGGCCGGCAGTGCGTCATCCCATTCTGCCTTCACAAAATGCGCGCTGTTTGCCCCCAATATTGGAACATCGGACGTCTTTTTTGACGACAGACAGCAAAGAAAAGAAAAGAAATAGATCGACGTACGACCGAATAAGGATATCTGGGCATGCTAGTGCCCGCGACAAATTGGCAGTTCATCGCCCTCATTGGCCGCAGCACACTCAGGCCCAGTCCTCTGCCGACTCTGGCAGGAAACCACTGGATTCCCTCTGCGCCAATCATGGACCAAAACCGGCATACAAGCCAGCACAGGGCACGGGTTCGTCACATTGTTTCCGCTTGTCAGAGAGAGCCGCAGCAAAAGACAGCGCCGCATCTCAGTGGGCAATGGACCAAAGGCTGAATCTCCCTCCCGCTGATTGCTGCGGGCGGGGCGGCGGCCCAATATGTGACCCCAAGACAAAGAATGTCGATGTATCCGCGGGGGGGGCTGAATCAGCAAAAATCCCAAGAAGCTTCACAACTTGCTCTCGACAACGACAACAACAACAAAAATGATGAGACCAGGTCGAATGAGAGTCGGATTGCACGAGTCAACTGATTGAATTTCACATTACTGGGTCGCTGCGTTCGTCCACCGCCTCTTTATACTTACTGCCCACCTTGGCCACTTCATCCGGCTTCAGCGACGTCTTTGCTGCACAATGAGCTGGCATCCTCCCACTGGAAGGCCCCACCCATGTACAACACGTCCATGTAAATGGCTCCGCCGTTTCCAGATGGCAGCAAACTACCCAGGCCGGCCGTCGCTAGCAGTCGAGCATGCCCAAAGCTGGGTACGGCCACTACGTGGTCTTTCCATGCGACGGCATCATTGCCACACAGTGAGGTCTGCATCGCATCGCTGGGTTTCGTGCATTATGTTGCTTCAAACTACCCTTACCCTTTGGCTCCTGCTCACATCCTTTCGGCAGCTAATATTCGGTACACTAGCAACCCCGTCGGGCTGCGCAGGTTGCACTCGACTAGTTGACCATCGGTTGAACATGGCTTAGTGACAATGTTCTTCCATGGAGAGGACGATCGGTTGGCTCGACTGTAGGTCTAAGTAGTCTATTCTGGGTCTCCTCCACGATGCATTTTGACTGAATTTTGGCAGATACTCGATACCACGTGGCAGTAGTAGTATTAGTAGAGGCGAATGAATATTCACCGACTCGCCGTCTCCGCATAATACCACCTGGCCCAGATAAGCCTCCGACCCAAACTGGTACATACTCTCAATGCTCAGGGGTGTTTCTTATGTGGGATATAATAGAGACCAGGTGGATTCAAAGTGTCGGTGAGGAATAACCCAAAACTGAGTTTCCTGCTTGCGATGAACCCCGGCTTACGCATAAATTTGCCGATTGGTGCGCCTTTCTCGACCGTGCCGTCTCTCACCTTTATATTTATCGATGTTTGCATAGCTCTTGCATTCTTTGGGCTGTATTTCTGGAAAATATCGAACTTGTTATCACGGGTTTCCAATCTACGTCAGCTTGCCTACACGCAGAACGAGAAACAAGCCAACATGCATGCAACATGTACGATTTCCAAGGTCACAAATGAAGACCTCCACTAGAGAGCCTCGTAGGAAAGAACACGACCACTACAATCAAACATGTCCTAGAGTTGGTTCGAAGGTAAAGCAAGGCTTGCTCTTTCGGAATAATGCATTGGGTAATTGGGCAATCATGGATTCGTTGTGGCTTCAGTGACGTGGGACTCAACAAGAGAGACATCCCGTTCGTGAGTACCTTTGTACCTACCAGCTGGGGTCCGATGGTGGGGTTTATTTAGACGCAGCCATTGGGCAGATCTCCCGCATGCTATTCCTGGGGAAGCTGCGATCGGATTTCAAAAAGCCAGACCTCGGGGCCCGGCGGTAGATATGATCCGAGCAACTTGCACCGCCGGTCGGATCGGGTCGCTGGCCGTGATTGACAATGGCTTACAGCTGTCGGCGGCGCTCCCAGGCTCAACCACAGGGAAGTGGCTAGGCTCTTAGACCCCAAGCCCAAGCGCGACGAGCTGAGTGGCTGCGCACCTTCGGAAACTGCTGTGAGATAATCCTCGCCAGTGTCCGCCGTCCTTTGCGACTTCGTTCTGGACTCACTACACTTTTTTTTTCTCCTTCTCCGGGTGCTCTGCCAGCCGAACCAACAGACCTTCTCTGGCATACTCTATATCACGCAAGACCTCAACAGTCCCAATTGTATCTCCGGCACGTCGAGCGACTGTCTGCAATGCCGAGAATCTCTGGTTCCAACTAGTAATCGCTTCACTACGCAACGCGCCGTCGCCGCCTCTCGCAACTCGTCCCCCCGTTTTCTCTCTCGCCTTCCCGTTCCTTCTTTCCTTCCCCACCCAACACAACAGCTCTTGCCCCTACATGCGCACCGACTCGGCTGAATCGCAAATTGCTCTTTTCCCACCTCTCGAATTTTCTCTGAGCAACCGTCGCTCCTCGAGGCTTTGGACGATACGAACCGCAAATACCGTTACACATCCCTCGTCTCGCGCACTCGCCCTACCGAGGGTTCCCGTACTTGCTTGATGGAGGATGAAGCGCTGGCGACGGTGAAGATGGAGGAGGTAAAGATTGAGGATGGTGTCGCGCCAAACGGGATCAATATGGAGCAAGATCCAAGCAGGGCATCGGCGCAGAAGAAGAGTAACCAGGGGTCTCGCTCCGCTAGCATGTCGCCCAGTGAGGGCATGGTCAACGGCGAAGGCATCTCGACGCCAGGAGGCACGCAGCGACCGAAACTTTCACGCAAAGCATCACAGAAGCCCGTCAAGCGCGAGTCGCCTCTATTCCACGATCTGCCAGACGTCACGGAGCAGTCGTGCAGTACCTTTCAGGTCATACCCGATTGTCTGTATGGATCCAAGCACATGGGCTCGACCGACAACGATGCTCTCGACTGCGACTGCCGTTCCGAGTGGCGTAAGTTTTCCCGCCCTCCTTCACTCCTGTGCGAAACCGTCGCGAGCGCTCCCTAACTGAAAATCGCCCGTCTGCAGATGAAGGAAAAAATTTATCGTGCGGCGAAGACTCCGACTGCATCAACAGGGCGACGAAGATGGAGTGCCTTGCTGGCGGCGGCAACTGTGGCGATGGCTGCCAGAATCAGAGATTTCAGCGGAAGCAGTTCGCCGATGTTTCAGTCATCAAGACGGAGAAGAAGGGCTTCGGACTTCGTGCCAACGTCGATATGCAGGCTAACGACTTCATTTTCGAGTACATTGGCGAGGTCATTAACGAGCCAACCTTCCGACGACGGATGATACAGTACGATGACGAGGGCATCAAGCATTTTTACTTCATGTCGCTGACCAAGCACGAATTCGTCGATGCGACAAAGAAGGGCAACCTGGGGCGTTTTTGCAACCACTCATGCAACCCGAATTGCTACGTCGACAAATGGGTCGTCGGAGAAAAGCTGCGCATGGGCATTTTCTCCTCACGCAAAATCAAAGCCGGTGAGGAGTTGGTGTTCAACTACAATGTTGACCGCTATGGAGCCGATCCCCAACCCTGCTACTGTGGCGAGTCGAATTGCACTGGATTCATTGGTGGCAAGACCCAGACCGAGCGGGCGACCAAGTTGCCCCTTACTACAGTGGAGGCGCTCGGCATTGACGACGGTGATGCCTGGGACACAGCGGTGGCCAAGAAGCCGCGCAAAAAGAAGCCAGAGGAAGACGACGAGGAGTACGTTAACAGCGTGCAGGCTAGAAGCCTCGACGATGATGATGCGCGCAAGGTCATGGCGACTCTTATGCAGTGCAAGGAGAAATGGATTGCTGTCAAGCTGTTGCAGCGTATTCAGCAGTGTGAGGATGAGCGGGTGATCCACTCCGTCATGCGCATGCACGCCTACCAAATTCTCAAGACAACGCTCAACACCTTTATCGACGACCACAACGTCGTTCTCCAGGCTCTCGATATTCTCGATAAGTTCCCGCGACTGACCCGAAACAAGATTGAGGGCTCCAAGATTGAAGCCACCATTGGTGTACTTACTCAGTCTGAACATGAAGAGGTCAGCGCGAAGTCGAAGAAGTTGTTAGACGAATGGTCCAAATTGGAGCTTGGTTACCGCATCGGGAAGCGAAAGTTTGACCCCAACACATCTGCCACGAATTCCTTCCAAGAGAGGCGCAACATGGACCGCGAAGAGGATGTGACTGCGAAATCGACTCCTGACCCCCTTCAGAATGTCGAAATCCCCAAAGGACCTCGAAGCAACATTCCGCAACGAAACACACATTTCTTCAATGGCCCTCCGCGCCAACGAAGACACCAAAACTTCAATGGTCATGGAGCATTACCACTCGGATGGTTTACAGCGACGGATCAGCGCGGGAACACGTACTTTTATAGCAAGAGCGGTGCTACGACCTGGCAACGTCCCACCAAGCCCGCTGACGCTCAAAAGTCGACACCCAAGGCGTTGCAAGAGCAGCAGCTGCTCAAGAACATTATCGACCAAGTCACGAAGGAGCAAACTCCCAGGCCTTCGGCATCACAGACACCGCAACGCGCAGAGACTCCCGTTCAGGAGAACAAGCAGGAAAAGTGGCGATCTCTTAGCATCGACAAACAGATGAAGATCTATGAGAATACGGTATGTGTGACTGCGTTTGAGCTCCTGGCCGCCTGCTAATCTTCCCTGCAGCTCTTCCCCCACGTCAAGTATGTCGTCGATAAGTACAGACACAAGCTTCCCAAGGATGATCTTAAGCGACTTGGCAAGGATGTTTGCAAGAAACTTGTGTCATCAGACTACAAGCGCAATCGAATCCAAGACCCCACGACTCCACTTGACCAGAAGCAAGCTAGAAAGGTCAAGGCTTATGTGAAGGACTTTTTGGACAAGGCTATTGTGAAGTTCAGACATCTCGAGAAGGAGAAGGCGACTCCCGAAGGCGACATGGACAAGTCCAAGGACTCTGCCACTTCGACCAACAAGGAGATTGATTCACCAGCCGACGACGTTGTGCTGTCCGACAATGAGGAAGGCGGATCAGTGGGTAGTCCTGAGCGCAAGCGCAAGCGTGAGGAGGAGGTAGCTGAGTTACAAACCCTGACTCCCTCAGATGAGCCATCTGTGAAGCGCCTTAGGGAGTTTGATGCGGATGGTGCAACACCACCGCCTCCTCCCCCGCCACCTCCTGCTGATCCGGCACCTACTGCTACCCCTGAGGAGCCGCTGTCAGAAGAACAAAGGGCCCTGAAGGAGCAGGAGGAGGCTCTAATGCGAGAGAACGAAGAGTCTGAACGTCTGGAAGAAGAAGAGCTTACCAAAGCTATGGACATCGGAAGCACCTTGAACGGTCACCCCCCCGTTAATGGGGGAGGAGCTGTCGATCAGTCTGCCATTGCCAACACCGGGAATGAAGTGGCTCGGCAGCAAGAGGTTATGGGTCACTAGACACAGCCACGACACAACGCCTGAATCAGGCTTGAGACGTTGTACCTTGAAGCTAGGGATACCCAGATTGTGCGATTTCCAACGGAGGGTGGGGCGTCAACTAAGTGAACAAGCCGAAGTGAAGGAACTCTCTCGGCCTCGTATGTATAAGCAGGCATGTTGCATTTTTCTCGTTCTGGAAGGGAATCAGCAGACCCCCACCCAAACAAAACAAAGGATCTCTCAGATACTTTGGTTTCTGTTTAGGGTGTTTTGTTACGATTATAATGTGGATATTTTTGGTCATGGAAAAGAACAAAAACTGGTCGTGGCCAAGTGAAAAAAGCTGTACCTAGGCCATTGTGTCCTTTTTTTTTTTCCTCCTCTTCTTCTTTCTTTTTTTCTTCACCAACCCCCCAGCATATGTTGGTTTTTTGGTGTGATGGGAAGTGATGGGAACAGGGCGGCATGGCATCATCCCCAAAGGCGGGCGGGCATTGGGTTCCCTTTTTTTTTTCAATCAGATTTGGGCATCATGACGAACAAAAAGTCACACCAGGCAATCGGCGTTTTTGTACAAAAGGAAAAAGGCAGATAAGAAACATAACTTGAACTAGTAGTAATGGATGTGAATGGAGACCTCGACGTTTAAACAAAGAACCACGTTTTCTAATGTGCGCCGCTAGGTGATATCTACACACATCGTGGATTGAGGACATAAGATGGACTCAAGCATCGATATTATTGCTAATTTCCCTTTCTCTCCTTGTTACCCCGAGGGCCTTGAGGCATCCATTTTGCTTCTATAAACCAGATAACTTTTTTTTTCTTACTCTCAGAGACTGACTTGACCATCCCGTGATGAACGCCGTGCCATACATGCCAAGTGCGAGATGCCACTAGAAAAAGTAGCAGATCCGATACCACATATCCTCTCCTCATGGACCTGGGTCTTTCACCTCCTCTACCCGGGGGTTTCAGTCCTCGCCAACCTGAGAATCTAAAGTGGTTGAGATGGTTGGAACAGGTAGAGCGGAACCAAAAAAAAGAATGAGCTGCCCGTGACTTTATGTAGGGCCACCAAATTTCGAACTTGCGTTGTCTGCCGGTCCCAGGCATTATCTTCCTCCACTAGGCCATCTATACTTCAGGTACTGCTCATGCCTTCATTCTGCACTTTCGTTGTCCATGAAGGGTTCGTCCTCGGACCCTCTCTACTGTCAGACATGGTCAGGCCCTCCTCTCCGCTTCTGTCGTTGGACTATTCCTGCCCAACCCAGCCCCCCGTTTCATCAAAGGGCTCCTCCATCTCCACCTCAGAAACCTCATCCTCACTATCACTCTCCTCCCCGCCGCGCTTCCTCTTCTTCTTGGCAGCAGGTTGCGCCTCGGGCGCCTCGTCCTTGCGCATAAACACAAAACTCCGCGCCGCCCTCTCCTCCCCCTTCCACGCGGCCCCGCTCGCCTCCCCCGTCTTCTTCTCCCGTATAACCCCCGCCGTCCGGGCATGTTTGTAGCCCGGGTACGCGCGGGAATGGAACTTGAAACTCTCCAGCGCCTGCAGGCCCGCGTGCCGGCCAAGGTCTTTGACGTTCCAGAGGGTGTACGGGTCGCCTTCGAAAAGGGTCACGACGATGGTGCCCTTGGGCGCCAGGCTGGGGAGCGCCGAGGTGAAGAAGGCGACGAGGAGCTCCTGGTTGTAGCGGACCTGGCGGTTGCGGTCGGTGGACTTGCCGCCGACGTGGGGGAAGTTAAAGAGGATGCGGTTGAAGATGCCCGTCTTTGTCGGGGCCGACATGTGGAAGCCGCGGTGGTTCGGGGCGGATTTGCGGGTGAAGGGTTTCATGGAGCGGGCGTCGATGTTGTAGAGGACCCTGTTGTTGTTCTGGACGGGGGGTTTGTATTTCTCGTTGTCGTCTTCGTCGATTTCCTCCTCCTCCTCCTCCTCTTCCTCTCCTGCTTCCGGTGACTCGGCCTCGGCGGGTTCCTTGCTGTCGTTCTCGTCATCCTCGGCATCGGCATCGCCCTCGCTCTTTGCTGCTTTTGACTTGGTAGGTTTTGTGGTAGCGGCGGTCCCGTTGATCTGCGCAATGTTCTCCGCGGCCTGGGGGTACTTCTCCAGCAACTCCCGCTCGTTCTTCTCGAGGACCGTCGCTGTCAGGTTACGGCAGCCGTGGTGTGTCGCGAGGCTCGCTGCGAAGCTGAGGTCGCCCTCGCCGATCAGCAGGATGGCGTCTTCCTTGGAGAATGGGATCACGGGCTCTTGGTTCTGGTGGTACTGCTGTTGCGCCTTCTTCTTCTTGGCGTCGCTCTCAATGGCTTGAGCGCTCTTTGGGTTCTTCTTCTTGTTGTTGTTCTTGCCGTTGTTGTTCTGTGGTGCGCCGCCAGTCTTCTTCTTCACCGTGTCCACGAAGTGGCTCTTGTGGTTGACTGACCCGAGCTTCCGCTTCTTGGCCATGGCGGGCGAGGGGCTGTGAGAAAGGCTGGTGGCTCGGCGGAGGGAGTATGCGGCGCAATGGGTAGCCGAGTTCGCGGTCCGGACCGTTTTGCGGTGGTCGTAAACTGGGTTAGGTTTTCGAGGTGACGTCCGGCGTACGGCGTGTGTCGCAGTGCAAAGTGGGATGTGGTGGTCGGCGGCGGTGCTGCTGCTACCCGTGTCGGCGCCCGGGGGGTGGGAAGGGTGTGTAAGGTATGTACCCCACGCTCTGTTGTACCGCGACTGAGAAACTTTTTTTTGCCCTTCTCCCCGGGGCTCTCTTTCTGCCGTACCTTTTGACTTTTGCGACGCTACGGCGGTGAGCAGGCATGGCGCGCTCCAGCGGCTCGGGAATAGACGAGGTTCAGCCGTGGAACCCTTCGCTTTTTTTTTTTTTTCCAAGCTCGTCAAGTGTCAGTGGCCTCCTTAGAAACCGACCCCTAGTACCCGTACGGGGGAGTGGATTGGGCGACACCGGACTATGGATAACCACAGGGGGGCGGATGAGAAAGAGGGCGGCGGGAGACGGGACCTGGGAGGTATCCAGTACATTTGGTACGTGGGAGGAAGAGTGTGCTGTTCAGGCGCCAGGGGACTCGTGGGCCACGCGCACCCCGGGCGTGCGCCGTGAGATGGACCTTCGAGTTTGCAGATGCTGCAGGGAGGAGAGGGTAAGGAGCTGACTACCTTGGATCTATCGAACTTGGAAGACACCTCGTCGTCCTTCGTGGGAGTATTACTCTTGATAGCACTGAGGGCTGGCCCAGACTCATCTCTATGTGATCTATTGGACTCATTGCTTTTGTATGCATCTTTTGGTGTGAAGTGTCTGATGGTGGTTGTTGTTCGTCTCTTCTTCTTAGCGTGGCTCTTATTAGCTAAGTGGGCCGGTACTTGGATGTATGAGGCTTATCTGGCACTCCCGAACCTTGAGCAACTGGCGACTTGCTGCGTACGGAGTACGGATAGTAGTACCTGGGGTACGCAGACGTAAGGGAGGCGAGCATGCCAGTGCTATGATTGTGTACAGCCCTCCAGGAAAGAATGACCATCAATTGCTGGCCGTCACCAGATCGTGAGTAACGGAGCAGTGTGTATAGCACTGCCGTGTGCTTCAACATATACGTAATTGAATTTCGTTTATCGTTGCATCAAGCCCAGAATACTCATCGGTGAGCCAGCCGTACCAGCCACGGAACAACAACACAATGCTGCACCTCACTGGGTCCTGAGAAAGAACTTGCAGCCGTCCGGCTGGAGTTCGGGATCTGGTTTAACAACAGGCCCACCCGGACGGGACCAGGACTTGTAAAAGTCGCCCCGTCCGACAGGCTGTCCGACTCGTCCGAATAGCCTGAGGAACCCGAGATTGAGGCAAGAATATCTGCTTCGCCAAGTTTGATTGAGACGACACTGTCCAGAAACAGTAAGAAAGACAGATACCATTGGAAGATGTGTAAAGCAAGGAAGATGATTGTATGAAAAATACTGCTTACATTTGGTGCACGTTCATCAAATGGCGGGTGGTATTTACAAAGTGGCTTCGTCATGTAAGAACACCTAGAGCTAGTTGTACATGGACAATTAGGAGGAGGCGGGCATGGGTGACGAGGAAAGGGAGTCGGGACCGGCCGGCCTCATTGCTATTGTCTCCAGATCGTCGTCACGATGGCGAGCGCGCTTGAGAAATGCTGCCTCTGCTCAAGGTGACAGGTTGAACGTTCGGGAGAAGCGGACAAGAAGTCACGCCTTGGTCTATGGGTATTCGAGTACGTACAGAGTAGTCATAGGTAGGTACGCGTTTAAGGAAAGCCATCACACAAGGGGAACACAAACGCAGAAGCAGGCAGCCATATGAGTAAGGTAGGTATTCATCGGTGCAGGGAGGTTTTGTTAGTTAGAACAGTGAGACCGCAGGCATTCATCATTGCTTACAGACGCAATGCTGGCATGCTCGCCTGTTGGCCTGCCAAGTCGCAAATGCTCGTTACGAAGACCCGAGCGAGCCAGCTCTTGGAAAAAAAGGCTTGCACTCAGATACGTGCAAGGCACGGAGTAAGGTACGCCGCAAAGTACGTGACAGCAGCACCTTGGACGGCCAGATAGCAGAATCGTTATGTACCGGGTACCTCTTACCCTTTTTTGCCGACAGGGGTAGAAGGCTATTTGCGGTCGTCGGATTTTCTAGTCCTCCGGACGAATCAGGGCGCGGAAAATCATGCCTACTCCTACCAGATCGGTGTAAGTGTGTGCAGCACAGTGCTGGGCTGGGCCTTGCCTTCCGCCTCGCTGTAGCAGGGTGGTCACGTCTGTTCCTGCCTTTGCTGCGCTCCGCCTGGTATTATTTGCAAAAGGCAGGAAGGGGAAAAAAGCGAAGCAATCTTCGTTCCACGCTCCCAATTCAACACCTCATTCACGCTGGCTCACTCTTACAGCCATTTCTGCGCACGAGTCTCATCTTCACCCTGATTCCACTTACCCCCTTCTCAAGCTGGTCTCTCATTGAGGTATTCCGCTCGTTGCAGAGAGAGGCCAGCCGGCTGTCATTTTCTTAGCCCACACCACTACCATCCCCGTCCAACCCACACACCTTGGTCCTGTTCTCCGAACAGCCAACAACCTACAGACATCTTCAAGCCAAAGCACTTTCTTGACCCCGAGCAATCGCGCCTGCTCACGCCTTTTCTGAGATTGACCGAGGATTCCTCGGCCGCATCATATCTCAATTTTCCCACCCGTACCGCGCCTCTACCTTACTCTACCCATCTCACAGACGCCCCCATCTCATTACACCATACCCGCTCTCACTTTTGCCTCCACATACCCCCATTTCTCCTGCCTTCACGTCTCTTTCATGAACGGCCATCGCCATCATGTCAGACGTTGAGACACCGGAGCAGTCTTTTTCGACTCCGACGCCTCAGCTCACTCCCAAGGCCAAGGGCCGTGGTAGAGGCCGGGGCAGAAAAGCTGTCGCGCCTAAGAAGGAGCCTCCCAAACCCGCAGCCACTGCCGGCACTGGTCGACGCGGCCGCTTCAAGCAGTTCTCAGACGACAAAGTCCAGGCAAATTATGAACGGCAACGCGAGCTCAAGGCACAGTACGCGGCTCTCGCTAATGCCGTGAAGCCAGCGCTACAAGATCTGGCTTCGCGCTCCATCGACACACTCACAAATGACAAGGACTACCACAAAACGGTGCCGGAATTCAAGGTCATTGAGGACAATCTCGGCGCCCGCTTCGAAAGATCCCTTCTTTACTTGGAAAACAAACTGGCGACTGCGGCCAGAACCGTCTTCAAGTCCAAACATGCCAAGCTCGGCGCCGTTCGCGATATTTTCAAGGTTCGTGAGGCCCCGACTGATATGTCATGTTTTTTTCCCTTCCCTGGTCATCTGCTAACGTCACCCGCGGCATTAGAACGGAGTTGAAGATGCGGAAGACAGATTTTTGGATGCGCAGCTTCATCGTCTCAACCTTCTGGAATATCTTCATGATCATGGTCTTCCTGTTGACGTAAGTTCATTCTGTTCTTCATTTCAATTTTTTTCTGCGTGTCTCGTTTATTCACACTGGCCTCAGCTCGTCGACGCCGGCTGGAATTATAAGCAAATTTCGGACAAGGAAGCCCAAGAATTCGGCCTCTATGAAGTCTACGTTGACGGAGCACTCGTTCCCTATCCTCAACTTGTCGAAGGCACCGAAGCCCATGCCCTGAGACAGGCTGCCTGGGCGGAGCCACAGACGGCGAAGGAGACCCTGGCGCCACCCTCCGCGCCGGCGACTGGAGGACGAACCAGCAAGCGCAAAGCCAACCAACAACCGGATGGCCAGCCGGTCTCCAAGAGGTCTGCTGCCGATGTCGCGCCCGTCCGCCACATTGCCGGTATCATGTCGGCTCAGCATGCTCCCATTGAAGACGAATCAAATGAGAGCACGCCGGTACCTGAGGGTCCATTGACCGCTGACCAGAGAGAGCCTGCCTTGCCGGCAAAGGCTTCAGAGCCAGATGAATACGGGTGCAGACAAGTCAACCGGCCGACAGCCAAGAATGGAGCGAGCATCGCGAATCGTCTCATTGTCCCTCCATCATTCCAGTTCGATGATGACGAGATTGGATTCCGTGATTCGACCAACTCCCCTAGGCATGGAGCCACGCTCGCTAAGCGTGGAAAGTATCTCGGCAAGCCGAACTCGAACACCTGGCACTTTGATCCTCTGCTTGCCCGTTGGGATGCTAGAGATCTCGACGAAGAAGACTACGACGTGGAACTTGTCCAGAAGCACGGTACTCACCCCCGATTGGGTTGCTTCCTGCCCACGAGCAAGAATGACCCTGAGCCGCCAAAGCCAGAAGCAGAGCCGATGCATCCCACTGTTTTCCTTACTCCCTCAGGCAAGACCATCCATGCGTCTCGTGTCGTCCCCGTCGCAAAGGTCGAGATTGCTCTAGCCGACAAGCCATACTCGGAAAGAATGGGTGCACTTCTCTCTTCTATCTGTGAAAAGGAGGACATCTCTCCTGAAGACATTGAGGGACCTGAGCTCAAGGCTCTGAAGGAGATTTCGGAAGAATATGCCGTGCAACGACTCATCGCCGAGTCTGTCAAGGAGTCCGAGCCAGCGAGTCTGGAAGATACGCCTGCCACTTCGCCCCTCCCTATGAACGACTCTGCCCTCAACATTGCTGGTTTGGAGGAGCTAGTCGTGGCTGCGGAAGCCGTCGAGGCAGAGGCCAAGGTCGTGGAATCTGTCGAGGAGAAGCCGGTGATCCTCCCCGCTCCGACTCCAGTCAGACCTGCTACCCGTGCTTATGACGCTATTCGCGACATATTTGGAGGGTCCGAGTCAGCTGCCGTTGAGCCTCCAGCTCCCGTTCTGGTGCCAGAGCCCATCGACACTACTGCGCTCGCAATCCTCGCCGATGCGTCTACTTCCACGTACCCTTCTCAGCCCGTCGACCTAATCATGGCCGATGCTCCCATCAGCCAACCCATTCCAGTTGACGGTCCTCCCCCTCCCCATTCCCATCATCATCATCACATCGACTCGGGTTATGTGGTTCAGCCCATACCCGCTGAATTCCGCATCCAGGCCGCTCCTTCAAACGATAGTGTCGGCTGGATCGAACCCCGAATCGCTTCACCAGGTGCAGACAGTCGGATTCACCCATCTATCGAGACTCCGTCGATGAGAGATCCGTACTCAAACCAATTACCCCCTGCTCGCCCAGTCGAGATGTCTCAAATGAGGTCCTCGATCGACGCCACCAATGATACCCGCCGGCACTCCATGTACCACGAGCACAGTGCTTCGTCGGCCTACAGCGAGCAGCACTTGCCTCATCCGCACAACCAGCAACACCTGCCGCAAGCAGACCCCATGATTGACCCACGTCTTTACTCTGCACCGATGGACGCTTCGGCCGCACATCATGAATATCAACAACAGGCTTACGGTCAGAGCCAGCAAGGCTACCAATTGCCCAGCATGCCTATGCAAGGAGGACCAATGTCACAAGCCTCTCCTCAGCTGCAACAATCTGGCTCTTCATCCCGTATGCCATTCACGAACCCTTCTCAGGACAGGAGCTCGCCGCTTCCGCCCTTGCGACCGTCTCGTGGCCGCAAGAGTGCTCCCGCTGCACCGGAGCAGGGTGTTCAGATCGAACAACATCAGATTCAGCAGCAGCAGCAGCAGCAGCAGCAACAGCAACAGCAACAGCAACAACAACAACAACAACAACAACAACAACAGCAACAGCCGCCGCCGCCACCTTATATGAGCACCAACAGTGGCTCATTCTACCCTCCTGGTCCACCCAGGCCATACCACAATGGATACACACAGGAGCAGCCTGGGTTGCCACCCATGATGAACCAGTATCCACCCTACCCAGGCTCGCAACCTCCACCACCACCTTTGCAGCAGCAGCAGCAACCGCCGCCTTATGGGCACCCAGGCATGTCTCCCACTTACTCATCCATTGCCCCGGCACAAAGCCCTCCGAATCTTCAGTTCGTTCCACAGCAACCCGGCGAACCGTCTAGAAGTCGGGCTGGGAGTGGCTCGTCAACTCCAAGTGCACAGGGAAACAGCAAATACCCCAAGCTGGCCCCCGCTCCCCTGCCTGCTCACAGAGTAGGCTGGCCTCAAGGCCCTGAACTGCGAACCGTTCAGTATGACTACAAGGAAAACATCAAAGATTATGCGCCTACAGAACCCCCTCCGCGTCGCGGTCCTGTCCAAATTCGGGGCTGGAACATAAACAATAATAGGATTCAGCGCCAGAAGACAGATGAGAATGGCGACGAGCGACGCGGGTCCCGCTAGGAGCAGAACCTCAAGTTGCCAGAGCTGAAGCCAAGTAAGGAAGGTCTAACAGGCGCGGGAGTGAAGAAGCCGGCTGCCAAGAAGCCAGCCGCTAAGAAGACAGCTGCCAGGAAGGCGACTACGAAGAAGGCGGTCGCTAAGAAGACGACTGCCAATAAGCCAGGTCCCAAGAAAACCTGAATGGGATCCGAGAATCATGTTGCAAGCGGATCGGGACAAGCGAAAAGAGCATGTATTATTATCACATCACGGACGTTGATCTTCCACATATGAAGATCTTTTGTCCGCATCATCCCTATGCGGGTGAAAGAGAGAGAGAAAGAGAGAGAAGGCTGAGCTGAAAAACCAGGTGGAGAAGCTCATTGAATGAAATTAGAGCTAGGGCCGAGAAGCCGGGTTCAATGGTGCCCCAGCATATTTGGAATGATAATGAATACGAAAAGAAGAATTGGTTTTGAGAAATGTGCTCCTGATCGTGCCTTGTTGAGTGAAGTCGTGATCCATCTGTTTCCCGTGTATGCCGTACGGTCCGGTAAGTGATACTACCAACATCTTTAGTAATTAATCGAGGGTGAGCCTGTCGATTGCTTGAAGGCGGAATCGGAAAGCTGCTATAAGTTTGTGATGGTTCCTTGCCCTTGGTTGCAACTGACTCCTTTTGTGCTTTTAGGATAATCACATGTACCATATAGACGAAGTCGAGGAGTAGCTTTAGGGAGTGGTTTTCCATTATTCCTTAATCATAGAGAGAGAACTCAGAAACGGTTGCTTGTTTGTTCATATGAGAGGTACTACCCACAGCTTTCCTAAGCCACAGATAAGATTCGGCATCATTATGGCAGCCTTGCATTTTAGGAGAAAGCGGCATTGCTCGGAGTTCGAGAGGTCCTTGAGGAGAACTTGAGTTAAAGTGCTCAAAGGTCACATAATTTGAGGAAGAGAATAGTATGCAAATGGAGCGTGAGCCTCTTCAATCTTTGTGTTTTGATTACAGTGTATCTGATATTACATGTATCCGAGCCATTTTGGTTTCTTCCGTAACAGAGAAAGGGGATGCGCGGGACGATTCCCTCTACCTTAATCTCCGCCTCCTCGCGAGAAATTGTTATACACATACACACAACCGCAAATGTTTAAAACCACTCCCGGGCAAAACTGGTCTACTGAGTGAGGATCTGGTGGTTGAAGTCTACCGCACCGTCCATGTTCATCATCATGCCGGGATCGGCGGGCATCAGGCCCCCGCCATTCGGCATGAGACCGCCGGGCGCAGCGAGCGAGAGGAGGCCGCGTCCCAGCTCGCCGACGGGATGGAGCGGGAGGACTGACGCCTCCATGGTGTTTCCGTCAAAGATGACCATGTTCTGAATGGGCTGCTGGGTCTGGCCGAGGACGTTGATGACGTCCTGCGCGAGCTGGCCTCCGAGGATGGCGGTGACCGGGGCCATCTCGCTGCCGATATTCTGTAGGAAGCCGCGTAGGACCTCGGAGCGCAGCGTCTCCGAGGGCAGGCCGAGCTGGGCGTGCTTGGCCGTGGCGAGCTTGGTGAAGAGGCCGAGGTCCTCCTTTGTGTGGCTGGGGAGGCGGCCGCTGTTGAGGACTTGGAAGTCCCAGAGGGCACGCAGGCATGAGATGACAGGGCTGACGGCCTTTTTCCTGCGCGCGCTCTTGGCGTACTCGTCGGGCAAGGTGGCGCCGTCGCTGGCGAGGTACCAGGTCGAGTAGAGCTCGCGCTTGGTCACCATCTCGATGGTCTTGCCCCCTTCCTTTTTGGTGTTGACGGCAACGACACTGCGGGTCCGCGTCTCGGGCGCGAGCTTGGTGGCGACGTTGCCGAGGTCGCGCTCAATGACGTAGTCGTGCTCGATGAGGTCGGAGAAGATGAAGCCGTAGAGGCCCTGGGTGCCAGCGGCGTAGAAGGCGCGCTGGTGCAGGCGGGTGGCAGTGTTGATGATATTGAGGGAGTCCGGGTCGAGATCGGTGGCGATGACGATGTCGAACGCGGAGAAGTAGCTCGTGCCCTTGGACTTGATGCCCTCGGCGTCGACATGGACGCGGACGCGCGGGTTGAGCTTCTGGATGGCGGCGGCGGCGGCCTGGGCGCGGTTCTGGCCGACGTGGTGCTCCTCTTCGGAGAGGAAGAACTGGGAGCCCAGATCTGATTCCGAGACGGGGGCGCCGTCGAGGATGGTGAGGGAGCCGATGCCGGCGAGGACGAGGTTCTTTGCGATTTCGTTGGCGAGGGCCTTCATTGTGATGAGAAGGATGTTGGCGTTGCGGATCTTTTCCTGTGCCTTTATGCCCCAGAGGCGGATTTGACGGTCGTAGAGCGCAATCTCATCTGGTGCAAAGAGTCAGTCCGTCCGTATGGTCTCATGTAGGTAGATGGCTCAGGCGTACGCACCTGCGCTCATGCCCGGTGCCGGAGCTGGCATGTTTGGAAGCATATCGTTGCCCATGAAGATTTGCTGCTGTCCGTTTTGCTGGAGGATCTGAGGCATGAACATCTCGCCGGTGGGCAACATGCCGGGGAGGATGCCGGGCATGGCTCCGGGGATGACCTCCTGCAACGCTTCCGGGAGTACTTGGTCCATTGGCGCGGCTTGCATGCTGGGATCGAACCCGTTGGAGGGATTGGGGAAAGGCATGTGAGGCAGAGCCGTTTCCTGAGCTGGCGCGTTGCTACTCGGGACTGTGGTCTCTTGTGCGGGTTGCTGTGCTGGCTGCTGCGCCTGCGTCTCTTGCACCGGCGTCTCCTTTGGTTGCGTTTGCTCCTCCATGATGAAGTCGCGAGATGAGAGTGGCGTTGACCGATGAGGGTTTATGGATCGCAAAAGAATAGTATCCTCGTTTTCTGCGTAATGGAGTCGCGAATCGTCAGGGCAGCTCAGTAAGTCATGCGCGTCGTCGTTTGGCTTGTGAGATGAGTTGGCGCAATGAAGCGAAAGGTGAGAGCTGAGACCGCGTCAAGTGAGACCGGTCTTGGGTCCGTCGTAAGAGATGAAAAGGGGGTATCGCAGATTGAGCTCATCCAATGACGGAAGCAGCAAAAAAGTTGATGGATTTTCCACAAGGTAAAATCCCAGACAGAAGGAAGTGATGGCGATATATGAGTATGATCTCTCACCTCACAAAGCAAGGCTGAGGACGGGATGGGTTCACTTTGAGGTCGAGGCTAAGGTACCTAGGCAGGTAACAGAGCAAGCTTGGACAAGGAAGGCAGCTTCAACAAAAGAATTGTTAGGTAACGCGGCGGCCCTGGTCCGGTAAGGTAGGAACGCTCGCATGGAACGTAGTCCTCGGCGTCCCTAACACGGATAATGCGCTAAAGCCACGCTTAAGTGGTACCTTTGGTTGGCGGAGCGTTGCATACTAACAGATGTATCTCGTAGCATTTTGGTGCCGACGCCCCTCTCTCTCCCCCGTTGCCTCACTGGTTCTTACAGGTACGAAACCCCGCGATGGGCAGGGCCAGGTGGGGGGGGGTCTCTCTTTAGCGGGTGCAGCAGGGCGATCCCACCGCTGTCACTGGCTGTCTGCTCATTTGCTCGCCTCCTGTCGAGGGGGACTTGGAACGGAAATCCAAGCACCAGCACCAGCACCAGCGGTCAGCGGCACTTCAGTCCAACTCCAACTTGTATCATCAACCAACCATCTTTGCTTTTCCGCCGACCTGCTGACGACACAACCCGAGCTGCATCGACGGCCGTTCGCGCCAGCTCCGTCTGGCCCTCTTGTCTACACTCATACTCTGCCCGCTTCTGCCACCCACAGCACGAAAACCAAGCTCCAGACTCCCATTATTCTTCGATTTACTATTTGCGACGAGGGTCAAAACTTGGGCTAGCGACCTCCCTTCGCATACGCCACCTTTGTGAGTACAATCCTGGTCGAGGCAGCTCAGCCCGTACGACCAAGTTATACTCCTACGGGCTGCTACGCCTTGCATTCTCTTCTGTGCTACGATCTCGCCTTATCTGCTGGCTACTGACACTTCTACACTCTTCTAGTCGCCGCCCCGGTCGATAACCCTCCAGGTAGCTGGACGACGAATCACTACCAGTCGCCCACCTTCACTCGATCCTACTAAACCCCATAATTCGCACCCCTCAAACCGGCGCTCCCGCTCCCGCCGTCGCCTATCTCACGTCGACAGTAACGAGCGGAGCACCAGGAGACTTTCACAGACTGGTTTGTCTCCTGGCGCGTGCGTCGCTGAGTCCTTGAAACCTTTGCCAACGAAGCATGTCGTCACAACGGCCAGACCCGAGCCAACGTACCCAGAGGCACGACGACGACGACGAAGACGACGACGGCTACCCGCCCCTGCCACCACATCGCAGGCTTCCCCCACTACCGCCGATTTCTAGAGACACGAGTCGCCTCACCTTCTCCCCAAACACCTCACGACGACACCCCTGGGAGCCCGAGCCTTATACTACGCAGGACCAGGCCGAAACCTACTACCAGCTCACGCGGCACATGGCTGATCGGAATTTCCAGGCCGAGTACGACGAGCTCGTGGGCAACAGTTTGAGTGGCTTCACGGCATTCATGTCCCAAGCGCAGGACGACTTTGGCTTCTCCCGAAACAACAACCTTGGCTGGAGCCAAAACTCAAATTTGCTAGATATCTTGCAAAACGACCAGAACGACCAGCGAGACGACGACGATAACGCCCGGCGCCAACCCCTCCAGTTGCCCCCAGTCTTTGGGTACAGGACAGTCAGGACAATCAGCGGCCGTCAACGAACTGACGGCACAGAAGACGACTTGGAAGCAGTCAGAGCTCTGTGGAATAGGAGAGCCCAGTACAGCTCCTCACCCTTTTCGCCGCCCAGGATGCCTCCCAATCAATCCCCGCCAAATCTTTCGCCTCTACCTCCATCGGAGGAGTACCCAGAGGAGAATCGGAGGGTGAAGAGGAGAAAGCTGGACTCTGAACGAATTGCCCAGAGCTTCACGGGGTTTCGATATGGACGATATGGCCAGGTCGAGTCAGGTCAACTAAAGATGGAAATCATGAGCTGTGATGGGGGACTTTATGAGAACACCACCCTTCACGCCCACGAAAACATCCTCAAGGACGACAAGACTGTATACTGCACACAGTCTAACCGCTGCAACATCATTCTGCGGCACCAAGGCGGTACTGCTTTCAGCTTGAAGGAACTTGTCATCAAGGCACCGGCATCGAATTACTCTTCACCGTGAGTATCTCGAAGTCTACCCTATTTTCTGGAAGCCGTATCTGACACATGTATGTAGCGTGCGGGAGGGTATGATATTTGTCTCCATGAATCAGGATGAGCTTCTTAGGCGAACGGCGGAATACGAAATACAATATGCTCCGCAGAGATCAGGTCACGCAACGGCCACCAGAGCACTCGCCCCGATAATCTCAATACGGCATCACGAAGACGGGACGACTGTGACTAGAACGCACACTCGGCAGAGACGGCTGTACAGTCTGGGACACGATGACGATGAAAATGAGAGTCGGACAGCACAGATCCCGGCGGAGTTCACCACACACTTGCCGCCCTTCAACATCACCACCGAATGCAGTTACGAAGAGACCGACGACGATGATACACCTAGAATCATTGCGAATCGGACAGCCCCCAATAGAATTGGGTCCTTGCCGTTTGAGAGTGACAGCAGCGACGACGGCAATCCATTTGCATCCGACTTTGAAGATTATTCTTTCACGAACAGGCGCCGTGACCCTAATGACATGTCACTGGCAGAGGCTGTTGAGGCGAATCAGATGGCAACGCAAGAGGCTGTTCGGGCTGTCGGTGGTGGGCGTGGGCTATTGGCGCCGCATGCCAAGTTCTTTATCGAGAAGGACAAGAGCAAATGCACAATACGCTTTGATCCGCCGGTTGCTGGAAGATTCATACTCTTAAAGATGTGGAGTAGTAGTCGTGCGGCTGGCAGTAATATCGATATACAAGCGGTCCTTGCCAAAGGGTTCGCTGGACCGCGGTATTTCCCTTCAGTGGAATTGAGATGAAGGGCTGTGTGGTAGACCAGTGAACGAAAGGAAGGGAATTTATGAATTCTTAATGATGGGCGTATGGTTGTATTCTCAGGATGACTTTCTCGAGCAATACGTCGACGGCGTTCAGGTTCTGTGGCCAGCAACGGCTAGGCTGGTTAAGTGTGACTCGGAAGTCACTTATATTATACCAAGTGCGAATATACCAGGATTGGGAGATCGAGGAATTTCCATGTGCCTCAGATTGTACAGTGCATGATGTGACATATCTGACGCTGCCTGGTCCAGCGAGTAGTTCTAAAGAGTTCTTGTATCAAGAACTTACTAACATATCCATAATCCAGGAGGATGAGATCTGCCGTAGAAATAGGATTCTAATGTTCAAAGACTTGGAGACCGGACTTGGTTTGTCGTAAATATGGTTGTTAGTGGTGAATTGCTTTCATTGTTACCTTTGATTCGACATTCCGTACGAGCCCACCAATCGGCCGGCACCAATTGTCACTCACCTAGCGCAAAACTCAGAGTGAACCACACACCTCACACTTACACTTACACTCCTAACCCAAGGTAACAGAGTACCTACACTACATCACTCTCGGAGCCAGTCTACTTTTTTGCCCTCATTCTTTGGCGAATTATCCGGGCCTAGAGAACGACTTATTCGTCGATAGGCAGAACAGCGTTTGAAAAAAAGGGAGGAAAGCCTTCCCCACTCACTAGAGAGTCATCATGAGCCACGAACTCACACTCATCGTCGCGGCAACGCGCAACATGGGTATCGGCGCCAAGGGTGGCCTGCCGTGGACGGGACTAAAGAAGGAGATGGCTTACTTTGCGCGCGTGACGAAGAGGCTTCCTCCACAGGTACGTAGAGGGTCATGTCTTGCTTCTTTCGCTCAACTCGCTTCATGCGTCATGGGAGCCTTGAACAATTCTTGAAGCCTGGTCTCACCGGCGGCTATTGCGACAAGATACTGCATGAACCTCATCACAATGCACAAGCACTATTCGATTGCTAACAATATAATTGGGCACTAGGCACCCTCAGACGCCCGCAACGCCGTCATCATGGGCCGCAAGACGTGGGACAGCATCCCGCCGCGCTTCAGACCCCTCAAAGGCCGCCTCAACATCGTCATCAGCCGCTCTCATGATGCTTCGTCGGGCCCGGCCGCGGCCACGGATTTCGAAAAGGACGCGGTCAAGGTCTCCTCCCTTGACCAGGCCCTCACGTTCCTCCGCTCCGATGCCAGCGGGGCCGCGGCTGGCAAGCTGGGGAGGGTGTTTGTCATTGGCGGCGCGCAAATTTACGGCGCGGCGCTCGAGGTTCCTGAAGCCAAGAGGGTTCTGTTGACGAGGGTGATGGGGGAGTTTGAATGTGATGCGTTTTTTCCGCTGAAGCTCGGCGGCGACGGCGGCGAGGGGCAATGGGCCCAGGTTGAGAAGAAGGGGCTTGACGAGTGGGTTGGTGAGGAGGTTGAGGGGGGTGAGATTGAGGAGAATGGGACGAGGTATGAGTTCCAGATGTGGGAGAAGATTTGACCTCGTATCTGTTTGGTCATGGATATTCTTTTTCCTTTGCTCATCTCCACTTACGGGAAGGAGTAATGAGATGACTACATTTACAAAACAAATGAACTTGATGGAATCTTGTTCGTAAATCCTCCATTCCGTCTCGAAACCTCTAATATGCGTTGGTGATTGTACAAAATTACAAGGCCTGCAGCATCTCCCTTCCCCATGCCAGGCTCTACAGTCTGCGACGTCCGTCAATGCTGTACATGATTCTCATCACCTTCCCCAAAATCGATACACTACAGCGACCCACGGATCCTTCGGATTGTCTGATCCGCCGCCATACGACTCCTCCCCGCTGCTTCTCTCTCATCTTTCCCTTACGCCTTCGCTGCCGTCGCCTGCTCCTGATCGCCCCCAAGCTTAGCAACATCCCCCTTAACCTGCGGCCCAACAGCATCAACAAGAGCAAACATCTCCCTCACATCCCTCTTGAACACTTTAGCCGGCGCAACCAGGATATCCTCCACGGGTGCCGACTCGAGGTCCTGCAGCGTAGCGCGCATCCACCCGACCACAGCAGCGACTTGTCTGAGATCGGCGTCCTCGCGGCTCTTGAACAGGTTCCGCCACACGGCGGCGCCGAGGACTTTGTCGTCCTTGATGACGCCCTCGTCGTAGGCGGCGATGAGACCGCGCCACTGGACAAAGATCTCTTTGAGGTAGCGCTGGCGGAGGGCGGACGAGGTCATGCCGTGGTTGAGGTGCATCATGCGCTCGCAGTCGAAGAAGAACTGGTCGATGAACTGGTGCTGCAGGTTGCGGGAGCTGTCGCGGTCGAGGCAGCGCAGGCGGGCGAGGACGAGATACATGTGCAGCATCGTGGCTTGGGACCAGGAGCTGAAGCCGGGTTGGAGATCGAGGACTGTTGTGTTGGAGGATGTGTCAGTATCAATGCAATCATAACTCGAACATGAGGGGCTTTCTGCCATCACAAGGTGGGAGCCGGAAAGGAAATAGTTGAAACGCACATTGCAACCACGGCCCAATGGGGTCTCCAACCTCCTCTCCCTCAGCTGTCATGCGCACCATATCCTTGGCGCGCTCCTGCTCCGAGATTTTGTACAGCGCCGGCGAGGAGCAGATCTTGTACAGCGCCTCGAGGCGGGAGGTGGTCAGGGTCGCGGCCATGGTCTTTGGCGCGGCAGCCATCATGCCCGATGCGATGGCCTGTTTGAGCCCGCCCGACGACGGCGCCGCGTCCCGCCGCGTCGCCGTCTGGCTGAAGTGCCTCCTTCCCATGGCAGTCGCCGTAGTCGCGGCCGAGCCGGTCTTGGATGTCGTCAGTGCCGTTCGGCGCGACGTCGCGGCGATGGAGGGCTGCTGGAACGGCGATGCGGAGGCGAGGTCGGCGGTGGCGCGCAGGCTCCGGGCCAGGAGTCTTGCCTGGTAGCGGCAGCTTTGGCAGGCCATCTTGAAAGGATTGCTGATTCGGAATATCAGGGATATCAGGGAAAGGATCGGGTTTCGTGTCTTATCTCGGAATGTCGCGTGGGTGATAAGCGTAAAGGGGGTCGTCGATTGTTCCGAAAGTGTATGCGGTCAGTCGAGGCCTCGTGAGCCGGTTAATCGGGGTATTGGACGTTGACCAGCAGCTTGGGCCCAAAAACGCGGAGCTCACAAAAAGTCTGGACGTCATCCAAAAAAAGTTCATGAACACATCGAATTGGAAATTTCGAGCTAGCACATGCCAGGTCGGCGGAACTTCGGGCCATGTCCACCGCACCTGGGTACCGTGCTTCTCTAGAGGTCTGTACACTGTAGGCGAACACCACTCAACTCCTTTGGATTGGCAATGCCGCGATGCTCAATTACCTTACCTTTGGTCTTGGCGTTTAGCATTATGTAGTTTAGAAACAGGCATCGGCTATTTCTCTTCTTTACAGGTGTCTTCTAGCTTCATTGGTATTGTGTAGAGCGGACTCTCACTATAAGCCTCACTCAAGGCTCGTTACTTTGCACCCAAAGCCATTTTAAGCCCTGGAAACGCTCGTATCCGATGTTAAAGGAGAGATTAAGCTCGTAGTGGCCGCGTACGTATGTCGGCAATTCTGTCTCTTACAATTCTCGTAACCAATCATACATCAAGTCTTACAATGCGAAGCTTTCCATAAAGCCTCTCCTGTGGTCTGTACAAAGTCTGAGTCTAAGCCAGAGCCAATTTAGACATTCCGCGGGCGCAGCCGTCATCGCATGGTTCTTCTGATTCCATCGGCACGGCTGTCCTCAATTAACGTAGTTTGGAAAAAACCAGCGAGGCATTCGTCCCGCCAAAGCCAAAGCTGTTCGAAATAGCAACGTTAACCTGTTTCGCTTGTGCCTCGAGGGGTACCATGTTCATGGATCCCCCGACATTTGGGTTCTCGAGGTTCAGCGTAGGCGGCACGATATCCTTTTGATTAAGAGTCAGAGGAAAAGGTTCGGTTGGGCAGAAAAAGACAAGAAAGTCTGGGGAAGATAAGGTTCTGATTTCAGAAACCCAATAGCCGCGACTCACCTCTGCAACCGATAGCACGGCGAACAGGGCCTCAATGGCGCCAGCCGCCCCTAGCAGATGGCCAACGGCGCCTTTGGTGCTGCTCACAGTCACCTGCGACTCGTCTGCGTAACCCTCCTCGCCTGTCATGATGCT